GCTCTGGGACGAGTCTCGTTGCAAACCTCTGAACCTTTTCCAGTTTCATTATATGCTTCTTCAGATGGGGACTCCATGATGAGGCGGCATACTCTAAGACTGGCCTTACGTAGGCAGTGTAAAGCGCCCTAAATGCCTCCTTACTTAGGTTTCTGAATGATGTTTCTGAATGATGTACTTCAAAGGGGACAATTCTAGGAGTAAATACCATGCGATAATTAATTCAAATTTCAGTGTTACCTGGAAGCTTTAAATTTTCCCAAGTGACAAAATCAGAACAACTTAATTGAAGTTCATAAAAAAAAGGCGTTTATTGGGTTTGACTTGACCAACTCGCCGAGGAAAATGATAATGACTCAATTAATTTAACTTGTCTACACACTTTAAAATTGTTGATAAATGGTTAACAAATACACCTGCCTCTCAATCTCGACTTATATATTTATACTATAAGAGATAATGTATGTCCAAAATTATAGGCCAGATGATGACTCGCCCAAATTTGCAGGGGGAGTGGACTGGGGTGCGGAACGGTTATAGGTTGCTGTTGGGTTTTCCTAAGCTAAATACTTAAATACATTATTAGCAATTATAAAGACTACCATTTTCGTGGTAGGGAATGAATATGTTTATCTCTCAGAATGTTTAGTAATAGGTTTATTGTTTGTGATGTGTGTATGTATGTATGAACACGATGTACTGAACGGGGTGAGAATAGCTCGAGCTACCTCATCCCTTTGTGTGTATTTTACCTCAATAAGCTTATTTCAATTTTCGTGGAGTAAAGTGTGAAATATAACGTGTGAATTCCGTGGAGTATTACCGAAAACGGAAGACAAAACTAAATAATACAAAGATATGAGAAATCCCCCTCAAGCACAATTTGTACTTTTTTAGTGGTGTGATGGAAAGATATGGGAGAGAGACCCGGGTGCAGCTGGGTCTGGGTTTCCTTCTATATATGAAAGTCCGTCGAAGGTTGGACCAGGGGGGGGGGGGAATATGGAGAATGGCGAGAAGGTGGAACATTAGGGGGAGACGAGAGGGAAGAAGACGGATAAATAGGGGGAAGAAGGAAAGAGGAAGAAGGGATCGAGAGGGGAGGGGGTCGAGGGGGGGAAAGGGAAAGAGGGAAAGGGTCGAGGGGGTGGATAGGGTGGAGGGGTCGATAAGGGGGAGGGGGGAGGGGATGAGGGGGGGAGGGGATGAGGGGGGGAGGGGTCGAGGGGGGAGGGGTCGAGGGGGGAGGGGTCGAGGGGGGGAGGGGTCGAGGGGGGGAGGGGTCGAAGGGGGGGGGACGGGTCGAGAGGGAGGGAGGGGGGGACGGGTCGAGAGGGAGGGAGGGGGGGACGGGTCGAGAGGGAGGGAGGGGGGGAAACGGGTCGAGAGGGAGGGAGGGGGAAACGGGTCGAGAGGGAGGGGGAAACGGGTCGAGAGGGAGGGGAAACTAGTCGAGAGGGAGGGGAAACGAATCGAGAGGGAGGGGGGGGGGGGGAGAAACGGGTCGAGAGGGAGGGGGGGGGAAACGGGTCGAGAGGGAGGGGGGGGGAACGGGTCGAGAGGGAGGGGGGGGGGAACGGGTCGAGAGGGAGGGGGGGGGGAACGGGTCGAGAGGGAGGGGGGGGGGAACGGGTCGAGAGGGAGGGGGGGGGAACGGGTCGAGAGGGAGGGGGGGGAACGGGTCGAGAGGGGGGGGGGGAACGGGTCGAGAGGGAGGGGGGGGGAACGGGTCGAGAGGGAGGGGGGGGAACGGGTCGAGAGGGAGGGGGGGGAACGGGTCGAGAGGGAGGGGGGGGGGGGGAACGGGTCGAGAGGGAGGGGGGGGAACGGGTCGAGAGGGAGGGGGGGGAACGGGGGGGGAACGGGGAACGGGTCGAGAGGGAGGGGGGGGAACGGGTCGAGAGGGAGGGGGGGGGGGGGAACGGGTCGAGAGGGAGGGGGGGGAACGGGTCGAGAGGGAGGGGGGGGAACGGGTCGAGAGGGAGGGGGGGGAACGGGTCGAGAGGGAGGGGGGGGAACGGGTCGAGAGGGAGGGGGGGAACGGGTCGAGAGGGAGGGGGGGGGGAACGGGTCGAGAGGGAGGGGGGGGGAAACGGGTCGAGAGGGAGGGGGGGGGAAACGGGTCGAGAGGGAGGGGGGGGGAAACGGGTCGAGAGGGAGGGGGGGGGGAAACGGGTCGAGAGGGAGGGGGGGGGGAAACGGGTCGAGAGGGAGGGGGGGGGGGAAACGGGTCGAGAGAGGGGGAGGGGGGGAAACGGGTCGAGAGGGAGGGGGGGAACGGGTCGAGAGGGAGGGGGAACGGGTCGAGAGGGAGGGGGGGGAACGGGTCGAGAGGGAGGGGGGGGCTACGGGTCGAGAGGGAGGGGGGGGCTACGGGTCGAGAGGGAGGGGGGAAGGAACGGGTCGAGAGGGAGGGGGGAAGGAACGGGTCGAGAGGGAGGGGGGAAGGAACGGGTCGAGAGGGAGGGGGGAAGGAACGGGTCGAGAGGGAGGGGGGAAGGAACGGGTCGAGAGGGAGGGGGGAAGGAACGGGTCGAGAGGGAGGGGGGAAGGAACGGGTCGAGAGGGAGGGGGGGGGAACGGGTCGAGAGGGAGGGGGGGGGGAACGGGTCGAGAGGGAGGGGGGGGACGGGTCGAGAGGGAGGGGGGGGAACGGATCGAGAGGGAGGGGGGGGGGAACGGGTCGAGAGGGAGGGGGGGGAACGGGTCGAGAGGGAGGGGGGGGGAACGGGTCGAGAGGGAGGGGGGGGAACGGGTCGAGAGGGAGGGGGGGGAACGGGTCGAGAGGGGGGGGGGAACGGGTCGAGAGGGAGGGGGGGGAACGGGTCGAGAGGGAGGGGGGGGGAACGGGTCGAGAGGGAGGGGGGGGGGGAACGGGTCGAGAGGGAGGGGGGGGGAACGGGTCGAGAGGGAGGGGGGGGGGGGGGAACGGGTCAAGAGGGGAAGGAACAGGCCAACACCTGGAACCTGACCAACCCATCTCTAGGGAAAGAATTGACCAGAAACTGGTATAGGGGATTAAGCGGTCAGAGAATAAGGATGAAAGATTAAAGAAAAACCTCATGAACACACAATATATAAATATAAAATTTTAATAAGACATTGTAACATTCCCTATCAGTTTTTTTCCTTAAAAATTTTTCTTTTTCTTTGTGATCGTCAATTGCATATTTTATATACGTATATATATATATATATATATATATATATATATATATATATATATATATATATATATATATATATATATATATATATATATATATATAATAGAAAATTGTGTGCTGAACATGTATTGTATATTAATCCACAAGTTAAAATTTGCAAAATTATAAATTGCTTAGAGAAATTCGGCTTGTTAGGCAATTCTGGTTAATTCGTACAATATACCCATATTTTTTTTAATATACAGTACACACACACACATCATACTCTAGAATCCCAAGACCACATATTTCTCGGCTTTTATCACACAAGTACCAATTTATGAGGAAAATATAGCCCTGACATTAAACTTAATGTACAGTATATAACTAGTATACTAAAGGGTCTAGCATGGTTAAGCTCAAAATACAGCAAATAAAAATAGGAAATCGAGCTTGGTATGGGGTGAGGCATACCAGCCATACTGGACAAGTTTACCCCCTCACTAATCTTAACTTTCCTTGGCCTCAGCAACCACACAGTTGCTGTGTGTGGTACAGAGGCATAAAACCTCTGTGGTCTCTACTGGTTACACAACTACAACCCAAGCACAACTAGGCAAGTACTAGGAGAGCCATGGCGTGGTTTATAATAATTACTTTTATATTTAGAAACTAAAAAAAGCTGAAAAACATCCTTTACAAAGGATTCAAGCGTGATCGTTACTACACGGGAGGCATTGTTAAACTGAGGCGCGGTTGCTCGTTCCACCAGGAACCAAGCACTCGGTCGACCCATGTGTGTATCAACAAACCTGCAAATCGAGGAAAAGCTCAAACTGAATCGAATTTTACTTCAAAATTGAACGCGTAACCCCAAAAATCGTAAGTCGAGGTTCCACTGTACTTTATTAATATCCTTGGGTGTGTCACAATGGAAAGATTGCTGATATTCTGAAGAGAAGAATTTTGCACAAAGAATGTAAACGTTTTAAATGTTTACCCGTATTTATAGATAATGTATTATTGATGTCTTTGCATTTGTACTTATTTAAATATTTTTATGCCTTTGTGTATACAATATTTGAATACAACTACCTGCATATAGAGAAATGTAAATGTTCATTACCCCAAAATGTCAAATAATATGATCTATCACATGCTTGATGAATGTAAACGTACGAAGATATCATATTAAATGGGTTAAGAATAGCTTGGGCTACCTCCTCCCTTTGTGTGTGTCTAACATTTTCAATTTCAACTTAATGGTGGAACTAGCAGTAGAATTACCTATGTACAGTACTTACAAGATGAGAGCTGTGCTCGTGGTGTCCAGTCTTCCCAATGATCTTTGTCATATGACTTTTTGAAACATCTGTTCTGAATTTATTATCTCCAGCCAGGATTTGAATTTAGTTTGTCACTTGTGAGAGGAGTCTTAACCACTCTAATCCAAGTTGTTTTTGTAAAAAAAAAAGTGTGATTTGAATGTGCGGGTTCAACCTGGTGACTATTAGAACTTTGATGGTTTTTACCGTGTTCCACCACCATGCACTCTTTGTTGTTTTGTCTACTTCCTTTTTGGTCTAAAAAATTAATATGCTCATTTTGTATGTACTGAACACTATTCTATTTTTCCATTGTAATGTTCCATGCCTTTCACATTAAAATCTAGACATACTAGATCAAGGCAATGTCATTTATCTAGTGGATGAAAGTACCAGCATTATAACTTATCTAACCTGTACTATTTAGCAATATCTACAACTAAAGCACAATACAGATGACAAAGAATGACCACAATACATCTCATTCAAAATCTGTGGTAAGGGGAAAAAATGTCAACTTTTTACTTACTTTAGCTGAAGATCAATACTATTGAGCCAATTCATGAGTGAGTCGAGGCCTTCCTGGACACCCTGGCATTGGACAAGGGCAGTGTCTAGGTCCTGGCAGCGGATTCCTAGGCGGTCAGCAAGTTCAGCATAACGGTCAGCCAGTTCCTCTGGAGGTTGTTCAATGGCCTGTTGTTCTCTAGCATCCAGCTCACCCTCCAGGGCACGGAGTAGAGAGGCTGCTGTTGCACGACAGTTATCAAACAATCGTGACTGAGCTACCACATCATTGTTGATTGCCTTAGCTTTATCTAATTGGTCTTGAACGCTCTTAGGCTCAGCACCAACAGGTTCTTGCAGAATGCGTACCACCTTTACCTCAGTGTCTTTGAGCCAGCGGGTAGCCTTTTCAATGGCTTCTGTATAGTCACGTTGTTTATTACCAACACTTGTCGCCTACAGGAAAAAATGATTAAATATTAGTCTTATTTTATCCAATACATATATATATATGCTCAGATATAGTCTTCTTTATATACAGTATACTAAATTAATTTAGAAAATTTATTTAACTTACCCTGTCAACGAGCTTATTGGCACGTGCTAGCAGATCCTTGAATTCTGCACTAACATCATCAGCAGCATCACGAACCACAGAGTCTGGATCAGCTTGTAACAATGGGTAGCGCTCTGGCAAAGATGTGCGGAAGTTATTCACAGTACGCAAGTATAAACTTGATTCATCTAGGAACTTCTGTGTGGCCATGGTAATGAAACGCAAGTCAGCTTGATGGGCAATCACATCCCCCAGGAAGTCTCGACACCCTTGCTCATGGATTTTAATCTTATTAAGGTCTGAGCAAAGCCGCTCCTTCTCCAATAGGGTCTTTGTGGCTTGATTCAACCAAGTGAGGAAGAGAGCAATCTCTTTTTCATATTTTGAAAATTCTTCCATGGCAGTTGTGAGACGACGGTGTGTGGTGTCGGCTTGAACCACACAGTGGTCATAGCGTTGCTTAAGAATGGTAGCAGCCTGGTCTAGTGACTCTAGTTCCTCACGTGATAGAACCTCACCCCCTTGGTTTACCACTTGCCTCACACCATCCAAGCATGTACCCAGAGGCCGGAACATCTCGTCAAGTTCATCCTTAATGGCCTGCAACATAAAATTTCAGTCACTTAGAACTGTACCAACTTACAAATGATTACATCTACTAAACTTTAAAATTAGTAAGTATCTCAATTTAATTGAATTTCAGTACTCAAAAGGTGTGTATAAATTTATAATGCTTAAAAAATTAGAACATCTAAAAACTTCCTTGTTGAATGCAATACTGTACAGTATTGTACTTTAATAAAGAATAACATGACATTTCAATTAAGCCAATTTCACTTAAAAAGATTCTCAAAAACGTCCCAAGGACTTTCAATACACACCTTGACTGTGTTAATCTGGTTGCGGAGTCCATTAGTATTCTCACTAACAGGCTCTTGTTCTGCCAGGCGTCGTTCAATCTCGCTCACCTTATCAATTATATCCACAATGGTTGTATCACACTGTCTGTACTTCTCAATCATGGCTTGCTGTAATATGAACACATTCTATGTTACCAGCTGCTCCTGACGCAGTGGCTAACCCAGCGGCTGCTGACAACTGCTCATTCAATGGTCATCTTCAATCAAATGATGACCAAAGAACCCCAAAGTCATCAACATACCCAAGGCAACTGCTACTGCGCCCATTTATAACACTACAACAAACTCAAAGCTACGTGCTTATTCAACAATGCTACAATACTGTAAATAAAATGCTTTGGATGCAACATGACCAGCGTACAATACAAAATAAAATAAATGATGGATAGTGTAAGAATATTGTTAGTAAAGCTTCTATTGTAGGAGGTGTACATGTCTGCAGGTGTTGATTGGACAAGAGGTAGGGAGGGCAGAAGGATGTAGGATGGCAGGAGGTGGGAGGAAATCTAAGGTCACAGGGTCTGAGGGTCACACAAGCCACGGAGAGCAGGCAGTCACAAAGCCCACGGTCCATGACAGTCAGCCAAGTCGTAATGCACAGGAAACAATTTTTTGCAGGCACAATGAAATACTTGTAGCGCCAAAGAAATTCAAAATAAACCTTAAAATAAAAAATAAAAATCAAAGAAATATACAGATTATGCAGCAACAGAAACTTTACCAGCTACCTTAATATATATATATATAAAAAAAGCCACACATCAGCCACAATTTACAATTTAAAGAACACAAAAACCTGGAATAAATAAAAGACAAAGAAACAAACGGTTAGTTTACCGTTCACCAGTTTTAGTTAGCAGGCTAAATTTCCAAATTTAGGTTAGTAACATTCAAAACCAATTATAAACCTCAAGCAAAAATGAAATTACTTGTTAATATGCAGTCTTCCATACACGTACCACCCAGATTAATGCTAGAAGCCAGCTATTGCCTGTATAGTAGTAGTTACAGGTGCAGGCATTCCATAATAACAGCAACAGCAATAGTACAGAACAGTACTGTGATAGTATTACATTTGTTACACAAAGAGCATTAGGTATGATAGCCGGTGGGTGTAGCATCATTCCCCAAGCGTAGATACTGGTGCAGCTTACCCGCGCTTGTGCGGTGAGTAGGTAACCTTGACGACGGGCCTCTGGAAGTGGATAGCGGATGCCAGAGGACGAATCCACCACGGCGCCACCTTGCTCATCAAGTACCCCACTCCGTGCAGCTTCTGCCATGCTCTGGATGTTGCCACTGACGGGACACTTGACCATTGTTGTGGTGCTATCGATCAGCCCACAGGCAATAGCTTCTTGCAAAGTAACATGTTGCTTCAGGTAAGGATTCAAAAGATGTCCAGTCTCAACATTGTACAGACCATAGTCAAGAGCTTCAAGGAGGGCAAGACCACGACATGGTGTTACTACCAAACCAGCCTCAATAGCTGCAGCAATGGTAAGAAGGTGACTGGTGGCTGTGTTGTACACCATACCCTTCTGTGAATCAATGACTCCTGTTTCACATGCTTCTACTGGTTGAATCAGCTGTCTGCTCCGTGTATTCTTCACCAGTACAGTTTCTGGGTCAATGAGGCCCAAGCGACATGTCTCCCTCAGGTTTAATATCTCTTTTGAGTTTGGATCAGTATACATGCCAGTTTCAGTGTTAAGGTAACCTTTGTCAATGGCCTCATCAAATGACAATGGTTCTCTGAGAAATACAATGGTGCCCTGGTCAAAAATAATGCAAAGGGTCTTTAAAGTCCCACTTTGAGGATCGAAAAGAGCCCTTTTCTTTAGGTCAACAAGTCCTTCTCCTATGGCACGCTTAAGAGTCTTGTATCTGCCAGTGTTTGGATCTTTGATGACTGCAGAATCTGGATCAATAAGCTCAAAGCAAAGTGCTTCCTCAAGAGTATACTCCTTATTTGATTCAGGGTCAGTGAATGTGCCCTTTTCCAAGTCAATGCACCCTTGTCTAACTGCCTGCATGAAACTGATTGGCTTGCCTACTGTTACAATGAGCCCTCTTTCATATGCTACATTGATAGTGTAAGTCTTCTTTGTCTGAAGATCAGTTACAAGCCCTGTAGAAGAATTAATCTCTTTCTCTTCTATAGCTGACCGAATGCTCTTTATCGACTCGTCCAAAGGATTCTTCAGGGCAGAAGTATTGCCATCAATGAGACAATGACTAATTGCCTCTGTCAAATCAAGCTTATCTCCCACACATGGTTCTGTGAAACGACCAGATTCTGGAGAATACAGACTGTACTTCAGTGCTTCTTCAATAGTAAGTGGTCGTTTAGAAGTAACAATCAGGTTCCTGTCAACAGCCTCCTCCAGTGACAACTCTTCTTTGGTGTTCGGCATAATATACTTGCCATTTACATCATCAACAATACCTTCATTAACAGCAGCATTTAATTTCAAGAAGCGAGATTTATTAGGATCTCTAATAATTGAGGTGGATATATCAATAATACCTTGCTTGCAAGCATCTGCAAGAGTTAATTTGCGGCCAGTGTTTGGTTGGATCATACGGCCTGACTTGTTATCATGGAAACCCATGATAACAGCATCATACAGACTTTGTGGTTTGTCAATATCGAGGATCATACCGTGCTCAAGAGCATCTATAAGAGTAAGAGTACAGCCAGACTTTGGGTCATTGAACTTGCCATGTCTGCGATCGATAATACCCTCCCTACATGTCTGCACAAGAGAGAAGCAAGTTGATGTACTTATGTCCCAGTAGCATGGAAGACTAGGATTTATGACCAACCTGCGCATGGCTTCATGTAGGGTTATCTTTCTACCAGTGTTAACATCAGTCAAGAGTCCCTGCTCTTCATCTAGTAAACCTTGGTGCAGTGCACGCTGCAGAGACATGGCAACACGACTATCTATTATGAGTGTCAGTTCATATGCTTCCAATAACGTGTGCCTAGTATCAGTTTGGTAATTCTTTACTAGTGCTAACTCTCCATCAATTATTTCATATTCAACAGCCTCCCTTAGATTCACCTTTTTAAGGCGACCAGAGATGGTGTCCTTCACATGGGCCGAGTCTGAGTCAATCATTTGTGAAGCTAGTGCTTCAGAGAGAGTAATCCATTCTCCTGTGCTTGGGTTCAAGAATTTCCCAAATTCTTCAGAATAAAGCCCTTTCATAATCACAACCCTCAAAGCCATTGGCATTGGTGCTTCAATAAGATAGTCTTGCTCAAATGCATCCTTGAAGTTCATCTTTTTAATTCTTCCAAAGTTAAACATCCCAGTGCTGGTATCAAGAAGTTCCTTGTAAACTGCCTGTTTGAAACTCATCAACTTCTCTGTGCTAGGGTCTCTGGCTAAGGTTGTACTGGGGTCAATGAAGCCTGATCGTATTGCTCGGCTCACTGTCATCTGATCTGTTGACAAGGGATTGGTAATGCGTCCTGTATTAGGATTGTAAAAGCCTTTCATTACAGCCTGATACAGAGTAAACTTTGTACGACCTTCTGTAACAACACCCTTGGTTAAGGCTTCCATCAATTCAATATCAGCTCCTGTGATGGGATCTCTGAATGTTCCTGTCATTGGATCAATAATGCCAACTTTGACAGCTTCTTCCAGAGTAATTGCTTCACCAGTTCTAGGATCTTTTACTGACAGGCAAGAGGGATCAATAATATTTCGCTGGACAGCTTCATGTATAGTAATACGGTCACCATCTACAGTGACCAGACCAGTTTCCGAATCATACAACCCATCTTCAAGAACCTGTTGTAATGAAAGGGAGCCTAAGACTGGCACAAGGTAACCTTTCTTCACTGCTTTATCCAAGCTCATTTGTTCTGGTTGTAGCAATCTTCCTGTTTCTCCATCCAAAATGCCTTTTTGTAGAGCATCACTGACAGTGTGTAAGTCATCATTTAATTTCACTTTACATGTATTAACATCAAGGAGTTTGCAAGACATTGCTGCATTCAATGTTAACTCTTCACCTTCACAGGGATCATAAAAGTGGCCATCTTCTGGATTATACATATCACATAACACAGCATCAACAAGAGGCACGGGGTTTTGCTGTGTCACAATCAAACTTTGCTTCACAGCTTCATCAAATGTGATAAAAGTATTCTTTTTAGTATTCTTCAGTTTCCCATTCTGAGCCACAACCAGATCATGAAGCAGAGCATCATCTAAGGTAACATATTTGTCTGCCTTAACATCTTTACAAAGGGTGATAAAAGAATCTACTACTCCCCTCTTAACTGCCTCATCTACATCCAGTTTTTGTTTCATGAGCGAGTCTATTATCTTGCCAGAGTTTGGATCATACAAATTCTTCTTTACTACAGCCACTAGAGACATGGGCTTTCTTTTGGCCACTAGTATGCCTTTGGTAAGGGCTGTTGTAAAATCCATTTCACATCCATTTTCAGGGTCAGTAAATGTAGCAGTAGATAAGTCAACAAGACTAGTATCAATGGCTTCTTTTAAAGAAATAATATCTTCATTTCTAGGGTCATATATTTGTATAGAGGATGGATCGAGAAGACCACTTTGTATAGCTTCCCCAATTATGAGACTCTCTCCATTATTAGGATTAATAAATATACCAGTGTCAGGTTTCAAAAGGCCTTGCTCAATGGCTTCATTTAATGCAATCATGGGTTCTGGTTGTATTTTCACTTTTTTAGGTTCTTTCTTGTCATCAGGTTTCACCAAACCTTTCTTTGCAGCTTCAAAGAAATTAATAGTTTCTCCAGTTTGCAAGTCTAGAATTTCCCCCGTGGTAGGGTTTACTATTCCTTCTTCGATAGCATTACTGAGAGGCATTTCTCGTCCAGTAGAAGGATCTTTTACAAGTGTATTCTCTGGACTAAAAGAGCCAGTGTCAAGTGCTTTTTGGAAAGGCACTGGCTCTCCTGTTGCTGGGTCAATGAAAATTCTACTTTCAGGATCATATTGCCCCTTTTGGGCCATAATTGCTGGATCTAAGGACTTGACCACTTCTGTTATAACTGTTATTTCCTCAACTATCCAAATTTCAGTTCGACTTCGAATTTCAATGACGGTGATTAGAGTAATGGAACCCTCTCTCACTGCTCGTCGCAAGGGTCGCCTGTTTCCAGTAGATGGAAGTACTACAACACATAAGTCAACATCGATGTAACCTCCCTCCATTGCAGTTCTTAACGTCATTTTCTGGCCAATCTCAATGACAGGGAAACACACTTGATCTTCAGGAAGTAAAGATGACCTCTTAAGCATATCTTCAGCTGTTCTGGCTGGCAAATATTCTTCTATAATCTCTGTGATTACAGTTGTTCTCGTTGGAGTGGGCGATCTTTTAAATTTCTCACGAGCACCTTTAATTACTTCTTTGACTGCCATTCCTGCAAGAATAGGAGCACCTATAACAGCAAGCAAACCCATTTTCACAGCATCCTTAACTTTGACTTTGCTTCCAGATTTAGGATCAATGAAGTCACCTGCTTCAACATCAATTACTCCTCTATCTACTGCTTCTTTAGTAGTTAATGCATTTCCACTCTTTGTATCATACACCATTACATCAGCATCAATTACTCCTTTGTCAACAGCTTCATCCAGAGTCAACAATATTCCAGTTTGTGGGTCTTTGAACTTCCCAGATTTTTCATGGTAGATGGTAGAGAAGGCTTGCATTATATTTATCTTACTAGTTACCTCAGTAGATGGTGCTGGCTCTGTAGGTTCAACTAAACCAAGTTGAATGGCTTTGTCAATAGGAATTAGATCGTTTGTTACAGGGTCTTGGAAGGTACCTGTGGCAAAATCAATATGCCCTTGTTCAACGGCCTCTCGGAATGTCAGTTTTTCTTCAGGCCTTGTTTCTGTATCAAAGTCAACTATACCTTGCTTTTTAGCCTCATCTAGTGTGATGATTTCCCCTGTGCTAATATTCTTAACTTCAGTGGAGCTGATTAAGACATATCCTGGAACTACTCTCACAGTTTTTGTTGTTATAGTTTCATATGAAGTAATAGTTTCAGTATATGTGATATCTCTACTTACATCAATACTATCTGCTATTACTTTTGTCATAGGTTTAATCTGTAGCAGACCACTTTCAACTGCTTCCACAACTGGCACTTCTTCACCAGTGTTTGGAATAGTAAATGTGCATGCATCAGTATTTATAAGTTTACATTCCAAAGCTTGAGTAACTTGTACACTCTCTGGCAAAATGGGACATGGCAAAGCAAGAATGAAGTCATTGTCAATAGCAGTTTTCAATGACTGCCGATCACTTGTCACTGGATGTATAATTTCTTTGTTGTCAACATCAACAAGACCCCTCTCTAATGCCACAGGGAATGTCATCCCAAGTGGAGGCAGCCAATCAACTCTAGCAACTGCTGAGGTAACAAAAACATCAGTCAAATCAATTGCCTCTAAAATTGACACTGGACCTTCTGTTGTAATTACCTGGCCAGATTGTGAGTCAATAATACCCTTCTGAATAGCTTCATCGAGAGTAATGATCTGATGCGTTTCAGGTTCTAAAATCTGAGATACAGGATCAACAATATCACAAAGTATAGCTTCACGTAAAGTCAATCGACTGCCAGTTTCTGGATGAATGAATCTCTGGGTATCTTTATCAAAGAGCCCCTGAGATACTACCTCTGGTAGAGTGACACTCCTTCCAACTGGCACAAGAACACTTCCTGTAGTGCCATCAAGAACACCACTCTCAACAGCTTCATTGATGGTCAATGGCTCTCCACATGCTACATCAACAATAGCCCCACTGTCACCATCAACTTTCTTTAATCTTAAAGCTTCCTCCAAAGACAAAGATTCTCCACCTGGTCCAAGAAAAGTGTTTGGATCCTCCAGTATTGCTGCAGTTTTTTCATCAACAACACCTTTGGAAGCTGCCTGCTTGGGTTTCATGGATCTTCTACATACTTTCTGTAACACAACTAGTTTTCCTTCATGATCAGGACTTGGCATTGACTTTGCACGGCCAATAGCAACACTAAATTTGGGCTCTGTTGTAACACGCTCTCTCGTCCTTTCTCCAAGAGACATCCTCCTATCTGAATCTGCTTGTTCAGGACTCTTATCTCTGCTTGATGTTTTAACTAATCTGACTTTATGCAACTGCACATCAACATCTTGAGGTTTATTATCCATAGTATCCAAAACTTCTGGCAATATTTTAATACTTTGTGGATCCTTAATTTCATCTACTGTAGGTGTTGCAACGGATAACTCTGGCTTATTGTTTAAAGGCAAAGCATCACTGGATAATTGAAGCTCACTTTCAGAAGGCTGAGCAATAATGAAGGCCTCTGATTTACTTTCTGAAGGCATAATCTTGGCTATGAGTTCTGGCTTACCCTCGGATGGTAGAACCTCGGCTGCCGTAGGCTCTGTCTTACCCTCAGATGGCAGGACCTCGGCTGCTGTGGGCTCCGGCTTGCCCTCGGATGGCAGGACCTCGACTGTGGTGGGCTCCGGCTTGCCCTCAGATGGAAGGACCTCAACTGCGGTGGGCTCCGGCTTGCCCTCAGATGGCAGGACCTCGGCTGCTGTGGGCTCCAGCTTGCCCTGGGATGGCAAGACCTCGGCTGCTGTGGGCTCCGGCATGCCATGGGATGGCAGGACCTCGGCTACTGTGGGCTCCAGTTTGCCCTGTAATGGCAGGACCTCGGCTACTGTGGGCTCCGGCTTGCCCTCGGATGGCAGGACTTCAGCTGCTGTGGGCTTCGGCTTGCTCTCGGATGGCAGGACCTCGGCTGCTGTGGGCTCTGGCTTGCCCTCAGATGGCAGGACCTCGGCTGCTGTGGGCTCTGGCTTGCCCTCGGAAGGCAGGACCTCGGCTGCTGTGGGCTCTGGCTTGCCCTGGGATGGCAGGACCTCGAATGTTGTGGGTTCTGGCTTGCCCTCAGTTGCTGTGGGCTCCGGCTTGCCCTGGGATGGCAGGACCTTGGCTGCTGTGGGCTCCGGCTTGCCCTCGGATGGCAGGACCTCGAGTGCTGTGGGCTCTGGCTTGCCCTCGGATGGCAGGACCTCGGCTGCGGTGGGCTCCGGCTTTCCTTCTAATGGTAGAACCTCGGCTGCTGTGGGTTCCGGCTTGCCCTCGGCTGCTGTGGGTTCCGGCTTGCCCTCAGCTGCTGTGGGCTCCGGCTTGTCCTCGGATGGAAGGATCTTGGCTACTGTGGGCTCTGGCAGGACCTCGGCTGCTGTAGGCTCTGGCTTGTCCTCGGATGGAAGGATCTCGGCTGCTGTGGGCTCTGGCTTGTCCTCGGATGGAAGGATCTCGGCTGCTGTGGCCTCTGGCTTGTCCTCGGATGGCAGGACCTCGGCTGCGGTGGGCTCTGGCTTGCCCTCGGATGGCAGGATCTCAGCAGCTGTGGGCTCCGGCTTGCCCTCGGATGGCAGGACCTCGGCTGTGGTGGTCTCCGGCTTGGCCTCGGATGGCAGGACCTCGGCTGTGGTGGGCTCCGGCTTGCCCTCGGATGGCAGGACCTCAGCTGCAGTGGGCTCCGGCTTGCCCTCGGATGGCAGGACCTCGGCTGCGGTGGGCTCCGGTTTTCCCTCGGATGGCAGGACCTCGGCTGCGGTGGGCTCCGGCTTGCCCTCGGATGGCAGGACCTCGGCTGCAGTGGGCTCCGGCTTGCCCTCGGATGGCAGGACCTTGCCTGCGGTGGGCTCCGGCTTGCCCTCGGATGGCAGGACCTCGCCTGCGGTGGGCTCCGGCTTGCCCTCGGATGGCAGGACCTCGGCAGCAGTGGGCTCCGGCTTGCCCTCTGATGGTAGGACCTCGGCAGCAGTGGGCTCCGGCTTGCCCTCGGATGGCAGGACCTCGGCAGCAGTGGGCTCCGGCTTGCCCTCGGATGGCAGGACCTCGGCAGCAGTGGGCTCCGGCTTGCCCTCGGATGGCAGGACCTCGGCAGCAGTGGGCTCCGGCTTGCCCTCGGATGGCAGGACCTCAGCTGCTGTGGGCTCCGGCATGCCCTCGAATGGTAGGACCTCAACTGCAGTGGGCTCCGGCTTGCCCTCAGATGGTATGATCTGACTAGGTGCCTCTTGTCTAAATTCAGAAGGTAATGCCTGACTCAAAATATCTTGTTTACCTTCAGGAGCCTCATGTTCTTTAGAAGGTTCTAGTTTGCTCTCAGAGAGCAGCTGACCAATGGGAGACAACTTTACTGGTGAAAGTTTGTCAAAATCTTCCTGCATTTTTACTATATCTTGCACTTCTGTTCCTTTTACATCATCTAAATGAAGAAATTCAAATACCTTCTCTTCTGGACCACTATCTATCTCTTTACCTCCTGCCTGTTGTTGAATTTCTTGGATCTTTCCATGTGCTGTGTTCCTAATTTCCTCCAGTTCTTTGGGGGATATCAGCCCCCGTGAAAATGCTTCTTCAGGAGAAATCTCCTTTCCTGTCACAGGGTCTTGAAGTATGACATCTGTTTCAACAACAGTGGTAGATTTTATGGTGGTGCGAGAACGCTTACCAACCACCGACTCGAGGGGTTCCTCTGGTGTAGAATCTGTGATTATTTCAACACTTTCTTCAATTATGATCTCTGCTCCAGTCTTAGGATCAACCTTTTTAACTTTCTTAATGCCTCTCTTGATTGCTTGTGCAGCAGCCACCCCAGCAATAACTGGGGCACCTATAACAGCAGCAACTCCAAGGATTCCATACTTGGCAGCATCAGTCAAAGATAATTTACGACCAGTTTTGTCTTTGTATTCTCCAGAATCTTTATCAATAACTCCCTTTCTTATAGCTTCACTCAGATTCAGATCACGCCCAGAGTAAGGATCCTTCACTTTGACACCAGTTGGTTGGATTTTCCCTTCTTTAACTGCTGTTACAACATCTAAAACTGAGCCATCTTCTAAATGAACACTGCCTTCTGTAGGGTTAAAAGTCATACCAGGTTTAATTTCAACAAGAGTAGCATCAACTGTTGGTTCATTAGTTCTAATTTCTCTGAATACAGCAGAGGGAACACCTTCTAAACCACCTGACACCTGAACTTTGTCTGGCTGGCCCTCAACACTTGTTATTTGAATAATACGACCAGATACATAATCGGTTATCTCATCTGACCGATCTTTTAAGATTACTAAGTTTTTAGTTATAGCTTCTTTCATGGTAAGCCTCCTGCCTGGATTAGACTCGTCAGGATATTTTCCAGTGCAGTCAAGAACAGACTTGTCCAGGGCTCTTGTAAGAGTAATTCTCCTCCCATTCTTTGGGTCTACAACTTCAGCTGATTGATAGTCAATAATCCCAATTTTGACACACTCTTCAAAGCTAACTAATCTATCAGTGCCTGGTATTGTGAAAAGACCCATTACAGGATCATACAGCTTCTCATCTATTGCTTCCTTAAGATACCAGCCATCTGGTGGCAGCTCAAGAGTTCGAGTCTTTGCAGAATAGCTCTCATTAAATACAGTTGTGGTGCCTGTAAGTGATGCACCAGATGATGTCATATCAGTATCATCAACATTCCCCATGGCACTATCAACAGAATCAGCAGGAGACCTAAGATAACTCTTTATTTTTCTAGGAGGTCTTTCTGGTGATACTATTGAGCTTCCTGGCATACCCTTATCAGGTGATGTTGGGACAGATTCATCTGTTTTCAGGGGAGACTCTGGTCCAATTCCACTAGATTTCATTGGAGAATCTGGCCTTGAACCAAATGATTTAATGGGGGATTCACCTCTTGAAGTATATGGCGATCCTTGTCTTGAGCTGTAAGATCTCGATGGGGATTCAGGTTGAGATTTTATGGGCGAGCCATCCTGTGATCCGTTTACAGTCTGAAATAATGTGTCAGGTCTAGTAGCAACAAATTTTAATGGGGAAGCTGATCCAGAACTTGGAGAAGACACTAAAGAATCATCAAGTTGCTCCAATTCCTTGACAGATGACTCTGCTAATTTAGTTGGTAAGGCTTTACCCTTTGAAGGCGATACCAAGGTTTCTATGAAATCTGGTCTCTGTTTTTTGTCAGGTGAAGTTATATGTCCTGCTTTTATTGGTGATGCTGTTCTTTCTGGTGATTTTGGAGAAAATTCTTTATCCTTTCCCTTCTCTGAGGAGACTGAATGACTGCTTTCCAGAGGTGACACTATGCTCTCTGGAGTTCTGGATGGGGAAGAGGGAAATGTTCTAATAGGTGAAAGAACTTTGCTAGTTTTCTGTGGAGATGTAGGAAGGCTAGTTCTTCCAAGTATTCTTTCTGGCGATTTAGAGGGCGATGATTGGGGCACACGCTGATCTTCATAAAGTATTTTGTCAGAAGAAACTGGGCTGGTTTTTGTAGGAGAACCCAATCTATGTGGGGTCTTTGATGGTGAAGAACTGTGAGATCTTGGTGGTCGTTCTGGTGAAATACTGGTTCTGGCACTCTTGGATGGACTAGGATATTTCTCTGGGGAGTGATGTCGCTTGACAGTTTCCCTTACTGAAGAAACAGGAAGCAAGGAATCTGGGGTAATGGCATTAGCACCAGGCAATGCAGAAGGCCATTCTGTTGACAAAGTAACTAGACCCTGCTGAATGGCCTCGTCTAATGGCATAGTTCGATTACTTTCTGGGTCATGATAGGTGCCTTGAGCTTCATTTATAAGACCCCTGTGTTTTGCTTCCTGAAGAGTAACTCTTGATTCTGTGGTATGAATTCCAGTACTTTTGACAGTTACATACCTCTTAATTGTCTTTGTAATTGTAGCAGTAGTGACAGTAACACTCAACAGCCCCCGGAGAGTAGCTGCACCTTCTGGTGTGATTAATTTTCTATTCACTGCATCTTCAAGGGCAACAGCCTTCCCTGTTTTAGGATCCAAGATTTGCCCTGTATTTGGGTCAAGATTACCATTCAGAACTGCTTCTACAACATTTATCTCCTTCCCATCATTATCAAAAATTCCAATATTCATTTTAAGAGTTTCAAGAATTTGTGGTTGAATCATCTTTTCTAAAACTGCATCCTCCAGACTCATAGTACTTCCGGTCTTCAGGTTAAATAAACCAGTTTTAGGATTTATGACACCTTTAAGCATTGCTATTTTAAAACTAATGTAATCCCCAGTTTCAGGATCCTTAATACCATCAATATCAAATATTGTTTTAGTGGATACTGATGTGATAAGGCCTCTATTCACAGCATCAATAAGACTTATCACCTCTCCACTTTCTGTATCTCTGTACTTACCTTCAGGCAGGAGTACAGAGAACATGAAAGCTTCAGGCAAAGTAAGAAGGGTTTTGCTGGCCGTGTCTTTCACCGATTTTAAATCGACATCAACTATGCCCTTGCCAACAGCTTCCAACAGTGGTATATAATCCTTAATTTGTGGATCTTGAATATGCCCATTATTGTCTAAAAGCTTCAAATCATTACAGTCTTTCAGAGTGTAAGGTCGACAAATAAGTTGTTGCTGCATAGCTTCCAAGAACTGCAACTTTTGCCCAGTAACATTATTAACATACCGTCCAGTTGTAACATTCAACACACCTTCATTAATGGCTTCTGCTACAGTTAGTTTACATCCAGTATCTGAATTCACTACCTCACGAATATGAGATGCCAAAAGTCCTTTCTGAACAGCCTCATCTAATGTGTACTTGTTACCAGAATTTCTATCTACGGCCTGACCCGAATAATCATCAATGAACCCCTGGCTGATGGCTTCGGACAGACATATTCCACTTGTTAAAACTGGTGATGGTTCAGCAGATATGAATCCTCTGGCAAAAGCTTGAGTCATAGGAATCTTTTCTCCTGTAGATGGAACTGTGAACTCTCCCGTGCGCACATTAACATGGCCTTCAACTATCGCATCATACAGAGAGAGCGAAGCCACCACTGGTACACAAAGCTGGGTAAAGTAGCTTACCTTCTCTAAAATGATGAAACCAATCTTTGCTGCTTCTTCAGGTGTTAACAGTTTGCCTGTTGTAGGGTCCCTGAAGGCGCCTTCCCGAGGACTGTACAACTCTCGTCTTGTCGCCTGTAACAGTGTTAGCTCCCGTCCCGTGGTTGGGTCTATTATACCACAGGGTGTTTCCAAGTGTTCCAACAGCATGGAGCTTACATAACCACGTTCCACAGCTTCAGACAAAGTAATGCTCTCGCCAGTGGTAGGGTGAGTCAGTGTACCTGATGCAAGGTCTACCAACCCACCCTCCATGGCCTGATGCAAAGAAAGCTTTTCACCTGTAACAGGATGCACTATATGAGGCTCTGAAGCTCCAGATGCTGCAGTAACAGCAGCTAGGCGGCGAGTGGAGGTCGTGGTAGTGACCTGTAGGGAGGAACCTACATGGGTGGTGGTAGTGGCTACATGCCCATCCACATAGTCCGGTTCTATAAGCTGTGTGGCAGAAGAGTGGCGCTGAGAGGGAATGGACCCACTTGTGACGGTCAATTGGGCTTCTGATCGAGCTCGATATTCCTTGTCATCACTGAAATAAAACCAGACTCATACAATGTACTGTACATGCAAAATCTTTACACTATAACTTCAAATTTTATTTTGTGTCCATTCACTAACATTCAGGATTACTTGGAATTTAGGAAACTTAATACATAACTATGAATTTGAGCATTAAATTCACCTACTGTACTTAAAATTTCCATTTCAATAAAAACCAGACTTTTTGTTATTGTCAGCAGTATGAGTGGTAAACTATAGGGTATAGAAAAACTGAAGCAAATGGAAATTTAGAAGTGATGACTTACTCGATGATAATTGGGGTAGAGAGGTCAGGGCGGACATCAGGCAGGTTGAGCTCTGTCCGGAAGGTTTTCTCCAGACTTACAGGTGTCAAGTCTTCCAGTTGGAACTGTCACAATCAAAACAGGGAGAAGTATTAAATTGTTTACAATGGATACATGACAGGCACCAGTAACTAGTTATGTTTAAATGGCACATTTAAACAAAACTAAATGTAACCCAAGAAATAATGAAACTAACAGCCGATTACTGTACCTATTATGCTATCTCGTGATATTCTTCGGGTAAAATGCTTCAGCCACTACCGATTGCTCAAGTTGCCCATGCTCTGCTAAACCTCATCTAGCCAAACTAAATTTAGGAACCTATCCTATCCAAATCAAATTGGGGTGTGGTGAGGAGGGGAGCGAGTTTGAGAGTGCATATGCATTGAAGTAATGAAACTATGTTTACTCGGTAATAGAGGGGGGTTACCTGGTGTTGCTTTTGGTGACGGACACCATATATTCACTTTTCATTGCTATCTTCATCACTGTAACCATCATCCCAACACACCACTACACTTTCCCTAACCTTCACTGCCTTCCCCCTCTCCCAGTAATCTTAGATAGGATGAAGTCCATATCTTGTCAAGCATAAGACTAAATTGAAGAAGGTTCAGAGGTTTGCCACCAGACTAGTACCCGAATTGAGGGGCACGAGCTACATGGAGAGACTACGGGGAATGAAACCCTCACCACTGGAAGGCTGAAGAGTTAGGGGGGACATGATCACCACATACAAGATTCTCAAAGGAATTGATAGGGTAGATAAAGACAGTTTATTTAACACAAGGGCATGCACACTAGGGGACAAAGGTTGAAACCGAGTGATCAAATGAGCCAAAGGGACATTCGAAAAAACGTTTTTAGTGTCGGTAGTTAACAAATGGAATGCATTAGGAAGTGATGTACTGGAGGCAAACTCCATGCACAGTTTCAAATATAGATATGATATAGTCCAATAGGCTCAGGAACCTGTACACCAGTTGATTGACAGTTGACAGGTGGGACCAAAGAACCGAAGCTCAACCCCCACAAGTGCAACTAGGCGAGTACAAGTAGGCAAGTACATATAGATATGGCAGTTGCCCCCCCCCCCCCCCAACAAGTGATGATCTTACTAAGTCTTGCAGTAATAAACCTTCATGAAAAATATTTATGAAGGTAGACGAAAACACACACGTATCAATTGTATGAAGAACTGTTGCGAACTTGACAGCTGAGTGGACAGCGCTTCGGATTCATAGTACTGAGGTTCCGGGTTCGGTTCCTGGTGGAGGCGGAAACAAATTGACAGTTTCTTTCACCCTGATGCCCCTATTCACCTAGCAGTAAATAAGTACCTTGGGAGTTAAGACAGCTGCTATGGGCTGCTACCTGGGGGTGTGCAACAAAAAGGAGGCCTGGTCAAGGACCGGGCCGCGGGGACTCTAAACCCTGAAATCATCTCAAGATAACCTCAAGATGATAGTGATTAATTTTGCTTTAATTAGCAAATGGAAAAGGTATACTGGTTCTTTTACTGTCAATATTGTGAACCCCGATGTTGCAATAAAAAATGGCCAATAGGCAAAGTTTGCCCAGAAAAAAAACAGAACCATTGTTTTAAGGTTAAATATTTTGCTATTATTTGTTACTAGACTTAAATAAAATTATTTAGTGTTTCCATAAATGTACAATGAAATACTGTATGAATTTAGAGTAACCGAAATCTATTTAAATCAATGATAACATTTATTTTAATGAAATGCTAAATGTAAATAGAAAACCTACACTTTTTACTTTGTCATCAACTAAAAGAACGAGTTTTTAGTGGAAGGAGGCGGGGGGGGGGGGTAATAATTTGACTTCGTTACATGAACAAGTTCGTTATTGTGATAAGTTTTACCTTAAGGTTTAAAAATTAAAAAAAACGATCTATAGTTAAAATTGGATAAGGAGTCCGTAGACTGCATTGGTGACACTTAACGCCAACTTACATTTACAACATTTTTTGTTGTAAATTTACATTACATTTAAATACAACAATATTTACAATAACGCGTTTTGCTTCCCATTTGTTTTACTTCATATGTACATACAAGATACCGTCAAAGTTATGGTAGTCCTACAATAAAACAGGTTGGCATTATGTACGAATACGGACTTTATGGCTAAACGGGATACGCATTTTATATTTCTGCAAGTTTAATATCATGCAACATGGACATCTATTCAAGATGAAGCCGAATGGTACTTAAATGAGTACTGTCTGTATTAATACTATTCGATGTATTAGAAACTGCTTTATCATCATGACCTCGTGTATTGTCTTGTCATATTGATCGTTCACTATGTCAAATTAACTATACGCTAACCCTTTCATTTATAAGTGTTAGTCCAATGTAGATTTAGATTAATATTAGCAGCCCCCCCCCCCACCCCCCCAAAAAATCCAAACACGAATCAACACAACATTTACACATCATTCCGTGGGTGCACGAAACGTCAAGCAGCACCAGGCTTGGTGGGGCTTAATTTTGCACAATGATGTGCAAAACTGTAGTTTCTTATGTGTTTAGTGTACACGTCTTTTCATTTAATGAAGGGGTAGTGTTTGTCCCAATATAATATCTAAGAAATTTTGAAGCATCAACTCTTCATGACTAATCTGAAAAAGTAAGTAACTTCGTTATCATGTTATCAATATAATAAAACGACAACGTTGGCAACCGCACGATTTTGTTTCTGGCTTATTCCATCAATGTATTTTACAATAACTTTAAAATCTGAGCAAGTAACCTGTAATCATATATTGACATTGCTTATAAAAATCTAAGTACGTTAATGTGTTGAATGAAGGGGTGATAATGGGGTCGATTGTTGGATCCCAAACTGCTGCTCGTCTTTGATGGTTAACATAAATCACATCTTACACAGTGCTAGCAACTGTTGAGGTTATCTTGAGATAATTTTGGGGCTTAGCGTCCCCGCGGCCCGGTCCTCGACCAGGCCTCCTTTTTGCTACACCCACCCAGGAAGCAGCCCTTAGCAGCTGTCTAGCCCCCAGGTACCTATTTACTGCTAGGTAACAGAGGGCATCGGTGAAAAACATTTTGCCCATTTGTCTCTGCCTCCACTAGAGATCGAACCCGGAACCTCAGGACTACTAATCCGAAGCGCTGTCCGCCCAGCTGTCAGGCGCCCTGACATCACGAGCGTATTCGTTGTAAATTAAACAATTACGGTGCACCATGACGTAACGAGTAACTGTGAGCACTTACACAGACGGTAGTAACGGCGCGGTCCCCCTTCTTGGAAGTCTTGCTATAGCGGCGAACACATTGATCACCGCTTGGGATGGGCGAGTCTCCTGCCGTACTAGTCACAGTACCTGCGTCCACCCCGCCAGTCACAGTACCTGCGTCCACCCCGCCAGTCACAGTACCTGCGTCCACCCCGCCAGTCACAGTACCGGAATCAGCTCCTGGTGGTCTCCGATCCTGACTTTGACGACCTTTGCGGATATTCCTCTTTGCATTTTCGGAATCACTGCCTCTTGATCTTTGGTTAGATTTTATAGTCTGTGTCACACGTGTGGCTGGCCGATTAATCGATGACGTGTTGAAGGTCGTAATATTTTGTCTTGATTTAGTCAAAGTATCTGTCCTTGGTTTACTTTTAGTAGTTTCTTTTCTCGATCCTATTTGATTCAACTTTGTTACAGTCGAAATTCGTTTATCTGGCCTAGAAGCACTTAACCCCGCACTGCGTACATCGTAAGTAGTGGATGGGTGCGGCGTTGGAACATTGTTGCCGGTGATTTTAGACTTGGTACTTGAATTAGTTCTGCCCGACCTTAATACACTGTCACCCTTAACTGATGTATTGGAACTAGATATGCCAGACTTCTTATTCGACACAGTCTCACTTGACCTTGAACTGCTTGAGCTTTGCATATTTAACATATTAGAGCTCGAGTCATTGGAGCGTCTCAAGAATGGTGTAGGCATGTCCCGCAGTGTGGAGGCGAGACCGCTCAGCGGGAGGGACCGACAGCCCATGTTGGCTATGGACACACTCCTATGGGACGTGTCGCCGCTTGCTGTGCTCGACCGAGATTCGCCGGAACTAACCATGTTCGAACTTGAATATGTTGAACTTGACATCCACGTACTTGCCATGGAACTTATTTGAGAACTTGACGTGCTAGAGGACGACACGACACGCGAGGTCAGGCTATGGCTCATACTTGTACTACCGTTTGCGCGTGCCAGAGTGGCACTCCACCTGCCCGGCACACTTCTGTCAAAACTATCCATTTTCTGTTTTTTGCTACAAATAACGGTAGTTACCTTTCACCACCACAATATTCCTAAAGATACCGCACCCATTACTTGAAAAGTTTTTGACTATTCATTCATTTCGTGAATGATCGAATGGGGGAACATCCCACTGATGATGCAACTGTCCCCACACCAAACATCGCAGCTACGTCACAACACACTATGCACACGTTTGTTCATGACAGCGCTACGCCCACCGTAGAGGTTGACATGTGTGCCTATAGTAGAGACGGACTCCACAACTCCCTCCGACTAGGTAGGGGGTACTGAGCTGTGGTTGGCGAGCGGCGCCCCCTGCCCCAGCTCCTACATGCTCCACGCTCCGCCCACCCTACTACCCACACACCTGCCTCCCTCTACCTCTTAATGTCGTATACGCTTCGAAATTGCAATTTTATTTTCCTACTGGTAGAATATGCGTGTGCTAGTCGTCTATCAACATTTAAAAAAATATACTTTGTGGTAATATAACAGTAATTGAAGAAGTGGGTGGAGCGGGTCACCGGTGTCTCCGCCCACATGCCAGTGACGTCAAACACCTCAGATAATACCGTGTCGTCAAGGCCCAACACATGAACAACGCCCACATCACTATTTCCTGCATTACGAACAATTACTTGTATTATCAAAGACCAGTTTACGAAGAACGACATATACACCAGCTCTTGCTGTGTATGGCAAGCTGTCGTGTTGGTGGTAGGAAAGGACACGAGAGAGGGGCTGAGAATGGAAACTTAGGACAA